TCTTCCTCCTCCAAACACGGCGAGTGGAGTTTAGACCAAAAAGCTCTATTTTTGTCTCATCAGACCACATGACCTTCTCCCATTCCTCCTCTGGATCATCCAGATGGTCATTGGCAAACTTCAGATGGCCTGGACATGCGCTGACTTGAGCAGGGGGACCTTGCGTGCGCTGCAGGATTTAATCCATGATGGCGTAGTGTGTTACTAATGGTTTTCTTTGAGACTGTGGTCCCAGCTCTCTTCAGGTCATTGACCAGGTCCTGCCGTGTAGTTCTGGGCTGATCCCTCACCTTCCTCATGATCATTGATGCCCCACAAGGTGAGATCTTGCATGGAGCCCCAGACCGAGGGTGATTGACCGTCATCTTGAACTTCTTCCATTTTCTAATAATTCAAATAAAATCAAATAAAATCAAATTTTATTGGTCACATGCGCAGAACACAACAGGTGCAGACATTACAGTGAAATGCTTACTTACAGCCCTTAACCAACAGTGCATTTATTTTAAACAAAAAAAGTAAAAATAAAACAACAACAAAAAAAAGTGTTGAGAAAAAAAAAGAGCAGAAGTAAAATAAAGTGACAGTAGGGAGGCTATATATACAGGGGGGTACCGTTGCAGAGTCAATGTGCGGGGGCACCGGCTAGTTGAGGTAATATGTACATGTGGGTAGAGTTAAAGTGACTATGCATAAATACTTAACAGAGTAGCAGCAGCGTAAAAAGGATGGGGTGGGGGGGCAGTGCAAATAGTCCGGGTAGCCATGATTAGCTGTTCAGGAGTCTTATGGCTTGGAGGTAGAAGCTGTTGAGAAGTCTTTTGGACCTAGACTTGGCACTCCGGTACCGCTTGCCGTGCGGTAGCAGAGAGAACAGTCTATGACTAGGGTGGCTGGAGTCTTTGACAATTTTGAGGGCCTTCCTCTGACACCGCCTGGTATAGAGGTCCTGGATGGCAGGAAGCTTTGCCCCAGTGATGTACTGTGCCGTACGCACTACCCTCTGTAGTGCCTTGCGGTCGGAGGCCAAGCAGTTGCCATACCAGGCGGTACTTTGCGAAGGAGATGGTTCAGCAGCTTGTGGATGCGGGTTTTGAGAAGGAGCCTGTCATTCACATAGAGGAACTGTAAGGTGTTGTTGTAATGGCCTTCTCGTCCTATGTAAGCACTTCAAACTGTGCATGGGAGTGGCTGATTTCCCCAAGCTTTTGGGCCCTTCCTAAACCATGGATCTGAACAAACCTGTAGTACGTGTTTCAGGCTTTGGAGAGCTGCACCACCATGGTCCCTGCGCAGTCATTCTTCAGCGTAAAAGAGACAGAGAGGTGCATGAGTGAAATGGCCTCCACTCTCTGCCTAATCCACTCAAACTCCAGCACGCTATCCACCTTTCTCCTCACTGGCATGGTGTAGAAGTTACCTAGCTATCTGGCCGGCCGGCTGGATCTAGGTATCTGGCCGGATGGCAGGCCGGACCTAGATTTCTCGGTGGCCGGCCAGCCAGACCTAGCTATCCGGCCGGTCAGATAGCTAGGTCCGACCTGTCGGCCAGAATGCTAGGTCCGGCCACCCAGATAGCTAGGTCCGCCAGCCGAAAAGATAGCTACGTCCGGCCGGCCGGTTAGACAGCTAGGTGCGTCTGGCCAGCCTGCCAGATACCCGGCATGCCCAGTGAAAGTTGCGTCCGTGTAATAAAGCATTGCATGCATATCATCACATTTGCTGTAGGTGCATAGAGGAGTTGAGTAGAGGCACTTACAGAAGTTGCACACATGGGAAACATTTTTTGTGGCCTAGGGTCTGGGAAATTTTGGGCCTTTTATAAAAGCATTTCATGCATTTCTACATCATTTTACTTGACTGGAGACTTTGGCATCTTTTTTAATGCCACTTTCAAAACAACAGGGAACTCAGAGCTGGGAAATCTCTGACTTCAGTGCGTTCAAGACAACTGGGAAAACGGGAAAGAACGAGCGGGAAAATTAGTTTTGAACGGTCATCCAACTCGGAATTCCAAGTGGGGAACTCTGGCCTCTTTTTAGAGCTCTGACTTTCCAGCCTGAAGATCACTGACGTCATGATTCGGCACAAATGATTGAAATGACAGGCTACTTTAACACTGACAAACTGAGAATCTGAGATCAATAAAAACGACCTTGTCTTGAATCCATCAATAGCCTAGGCCTAGGAGACATATTGAAAGCTACAATATGAGGAGGAAATTATAGTCCTAAAAATGCTTTCCTGTTTCACTGACTCACCTAATGAAGCCAGCTCACATGCTGGTGATGTCATATGTGCTCTTGCCAAAAACCTCTCTCTCTCTCTCTCTCTCTCTCTCTCTCTCTCTCTCTCTCGTTTTACTTTGTAAAACAATATTTTACTTTGTAAAACAATATTTGGAAGTTGATCAAATATTTTGGTAGCATACAGCTGACGTATTAGAGTCCTCTCTTTTCAGCAGGAGCCATTTGCTTTCAAACCTGTGTTTTCCCGCAATTGTAGACTTTTTGAAATATTGCAAAATGCCAGTTTTGTCTGCATGCTGTTTGTTCACTGACAGATTTGCCGTGCATTCCCGAATGTAGGCTATGCCTTGTTATTGGGCTACACTCAGCTAGGCTATTTTTAAAAGAAGCTATTTATCCTCTGTGACTACATTTTAGGATTTATCATGGTGTAGTAGGCTATTCTGAATTATTTCATTTATTTCTGAACAGACAGCAGGAACTATATAACTTTGGCAAATGTATTTCAATTTATCAGGCGTGCTCCACCTCCTCCAGAACCCTTCGCGCGACTCTATAAGGAAATCAATTATGAAGTGCAATTCTGGAGCGATGAGAGTTGCAGGCTCATGTCTGTCAGAGCAGAGAGAGGGAGAGATATCATAGAAAGTGAATCTCATTCTAGTTCTGTGAGAGAACTAGAATGGGGGGGTTAACGAAGAGGCAACTCGAATGAACTTGGATCGCATTTATTATCGTTTTTACATTGCAAAAAGTGACAATTATTTTTCATGCCACGAGAGGTACCGGATCCTGCCACATAGGAATTAAACAATCCAAAACGGAGAGGTGCCGGATCTGGCTCAAATTAAGAGAAGGTGGAAGAGAGAGATTGGAATAGAGAAAAGGAGAATGAAAAGGATACACATTGGGAGAGGGAGAAAATATTTGAGAGGAATAGGTGGGAGAGGGAGAAAGCTAAAGAGGTGTGGGGATCTATTTTCTTATAACTAGATGTGATGCCTAGCTTAGAAAGAATACATTAATGATTAAACATAATAGGTTTGTGCTGTACTGATATAGACTGTTTAATATAACAAGCTGTGATTAATGTGAGGAACATTAGGGGGTAGGATGAGATAAGACTTGTGACACACACACAGCCTCTTTGTTAGAACGCTCAAGGACATGTGTTCTGCTACAAAGATGTCTGAGGTTGCTGACTCTCTGGACAAGTTGCAAAACAACTAAACACCTGGCAACAGTGAAGCGCCAAGGGGCTGGGACCAGCCTGTGCGCCAACGATAGGCTGAGTAAGTCTAAACCACGCTCAGTCTCTACTCTGATAGGCCAGCAGGGAGCGGGAACTATCTCTGTCAGAGTATTTAAATAATAACTTTAACAATGGACCAGTTCTCTGAGTGCCCTGCGTGGTATTTCAGTGGACCCGTATATACGAACATCATATTTACCATTGAAGTGTTTTGCATTAATTAAAATACTAGTCTATTTTAGAAGACGTGTATTGACCTCTTTTTGTTCCAATACCAGATTTGAATTGACGCAAATTAACAGAGGGGAGAACGAAATAGGGAGATGTTTGAGAAGGAAATAGATTGGGAGAGGGAGAATAAGTGGGAAAGGTCTTCTTGAGAGAGAGGTATGTTTCAGCTGATGATAAGAGGGGGGTGCGTGACATATCTCATCGAGGGCTGGTTCAGGAGGGACAGCTCAAAACCGCACATTGATCAGTGCCAGGGAGCAGCAGTAGCATCAATTGTAGAAGAATAACTGGAGAAGCTTCCCACACATCACCCTCAGTCAAGCCGGTTACTGCAGGTGGAACTCAGCCCAGTGGAGACTGCTGACAAACCTAGCCTCCAGCTCATCCCTTGCAGGATTTGCCACAAAAACTTTGCTGCAGAGAGACTAGATAAGAGCCATAAGGTATTTGACTTGATGCAGAGCTCCAGCTGCAAAGTCTTTGACTCCTCCAAGTACAGGGTCAAGGGAACCGACCTGGAAGAGTTCATGAAAACCAACTCAAGAAATAAGTCTCCTGAGGTAATAGTTTTCCCCAAACGTATTTATCTTACTGAAGAAATAATGGTATTTTTCTAATTTCTCATGCATGCACCACTGGTAAATATGGTTTCGGCCTTGATTTACAGCTAAAGAAGAACAACTGGAGGCAGAAACGAGGCATTCATTCGTAATCTGCACCAGGCCCATGTTCCAGCAACAGGTACTTTGCAGCGCCAACCACCTATCCAAGACAACAATGATTATTTTACCTTCCCTCACTGTGCTCGCCAGTTTGCCCCAGGGCCAGCAGAGCAACATATCCCCAAGTGTCAGAAGAACATCAAGAGCCACCTGCCACCGCTGCTGACAAAAGCAACTCACCGCCCTCCGCCACTGACAGAAGTCAAATCATTTGCTATGCATCATATTTTTGATGTTTATAAAAAGCATGCAAAACGAAATACATTTTTATAGAGCAAAATAACATGTTTGTTTGGAAGAACATCAAGATTTTTGGTTTTTAGCAGGGGTGCAACTTTCGTTTTAGAAGTGGGGGGGACATAATAATAATAATTGTATACCCGACTGCTCGGAGGCATCCACATGGTCCTAAAGCACACCGTTGCCTAGTTTTGTATCACATTCCAATGCTAAAACTGGTGGTGACAAAAAACTGGTATTAAAAAAATATCATATTTTGCTTTGTGTACAGTGTTTGGTTCATCATAGAATTCATTAGACCAAAGTGGTTTGTATTTTTAATTTTTACATGAAGCATAAAACAAAGGTGCCTCTGTGAATGGTGGAAAGTTAGACCACTTTAACATCATACACCCACTCAATTGCATAGGGTCAGCTAAGCCATTGAAAAAATAGATTGCAAAAATAGACACAGTACAGGCATAATATCAACATCAAACAAACTATATAAAAAGCATATCTTATTCTCAACGCACATTTTCTTTTATATTTTGTGCACAATTCATCACAACACAATCTTTGGTTTAAAGAGTATGCACTAGGGAATAGGGATATATTTTTCTCTTGCATCGACAAAGAAAATTCCACCAGTGTTGTACTGTATCAATTGACTGCACACTAACCAAAAGAGTTGCAAGCTTATAAGCCGTTGGTAAAGGACACTTAAAAACATACATACACACACCACCCAGAGTAAAGAAATACACAAAATGTGAATATTACACTTTTCACAACTAGTGTAAAAATAATGATTCAATGAATACTCAAAACAGGAAAAATGTAATAGAAAAAAAACATTCAGTATTACCATGAAGTTTACGAAAACAAGCTTTTCTAAAATTCTAGGACGTGAACTGTGCTCATGATATGAAATATTATAGAAGGAAGATTGTAATTTTATGGTTAATTTCCTCCACTTAAATACTAGTTCAAGGTTATCATCTTAAGGCAATAAAAAGACAAGTGATTGTCTATATTTAATCAGTAGTTTGAAAAGTGAACCTCACATTTCACATGCCATTTTTCCAAATACAGTATAGCAAGCTGTTCATGAAAGACACAACATTGCAAATACTTAAATGTTAAAACGAAATACGTCTTTGGTAAATTTTATATCAAATATACTATATTTGGTATACCTTTTAGTTAGTATTTAGTATTTAGTTTAGAACAGCATCACATATGAAGAACATTGGTAGGTTATCAAAAATAGGGCTCAGGGCTTTCCAGAGGAATGAGCAAATAAAGCAGTACTTTAAATTCACATTGGTTTTAATAACCACAAGAAATAACTGCAAGAGGATATATATCTCAAAAACAATGGAAGAACACCAAACGTTCTTCTCTCTACAGTAAGCTGTGCCCACTTGTGATCATCAATTAAAATGTGGGACAAAACAACACAATCCTAAACCTCAGTTGACAGTAGTCAATCAGTGACAACATTATCATTACTACCAAAGTATTTACTCATATTTCACATTAGCCTACATAACACTGCAAGAAGTTGGTTGCTTAATGTTGAATCAAGCCAACATTTCAATCTGTCTGTGTCCAGGTCACTGCAGATCAGTTGCTGTAGGCCTATTCCTGACACCATCAGCTAATTATAGCTTACAACATGGAAGTGTCCACACAGGGTATCTCTCATGTATATTTATACAACGTAATCATGCAGATTGGATTATATCTAAGAAATATGATGTAACACAATGTGAAAAGAAGCGAGACCTCTCTTGCAAGTGGATGAGGTCAGTGGGCATCCATTTATCAGCTAGCTGTCCTAGTTAAGGAGAACACAACTGACTCTCAGACTACTCATCCCTTTTGTCATTTCTTAAACCTCCTTCTCCCTGCCATTCACCAATGGAACTGTCTTGCTAACATATTCCTCCTCTCAATATGGCCTAGCCACTCCATCTACAGGACCTGTTTGATGGACCCTGTTTGATGGACTTAATTGCATAGAGCCACCACCACTCATTGCACATAGTATAGGACAGACGCAGGTTTTTTTCTCACGGATTTGCCCCATCAGATCTGTCCCCGTCATAGTTGGAGGCTCCTCCCTGTCCCTCCACAGGCCTGTGACCAGATTGGTGGTTGCAGTTATTTTCAGTTCCTGCCTGTCGCAGTGTCAGACGGTTGATTGCTGTCCAGAGTCTCTCATTCTCTTTGAGCTGGTCACTGAACTGTTATCATAGAGAACAACACTTGATAACACTTATCTGTCTGCATAGCAATGGGGTTGAGCGGTTTTACAGAATAGGGACTCGACTCAGTGTTACTACACAACTTTGCTCACAGGGATCACTACAGGTGCTAGACAGTCTGTAGTGAGTAACGCTTACCTGCTTCTGTAACAACTGGATGGTTGCCTCCTGACGATTGACGGTCTCTCGCAACTGTAAAAGAAAATGGCAACAACTACAGAGAAACACAGAACAAACACGAGCAGCTGTGATATGTTCACAGACTACTGTCTGGTGCAGGCTTATGCTGATACAATGTGTGTAAGGGGTTATTTTGCACATACCTGTGCTACCTCACTGCTTGCTCTGCAGCAAGTTGGCGCCTCCCCTTTCTTACAGGCTCCTGCCTCCTCAAACCCGTTGACCCTGTCACAGCCCATACGAGCAGTCTAAAGAAACAACACTTGGTTAGGTTGAGGCATTAGCATGGGGATGTAGTCAGGTGTCGAGCATACAGACAGGCGGTGGTCATTACCGGGAGCTCTTTCTCAGTGGCGGCAGCAGCGGCTGCAGCCTTCAGCTCCTGTAGCTCCTCATAGGGCAGTGTGACGCTCTCGGGGAAAGAAGGAGCCAGTGGGCCAGGCATGGAGCCTCTGGAGTCCTCTGGCATCGGGATGAACTCTGCATCCTGTAGCTCCTGTTAGGGAGGATGGACAGGGAGGGACACAAACATTCAGTGGCCATAACCCTCTCTGTTTTGGCTTTCATTATGCTTTGTGGCTTTGATTACAAACCTTGCGCAGCCAGAAGGGGCAGGAGCTGTCGCCGGTCTGGTTCGTCAGAGACATCATGGAGGTCTCGATGCGTCGCTCGTCTGTGTCGGCCTCCTTAGTGCCCCCCAGGCCCCCTTCACGCAGCCCTGTCTCTGAGCCTGGCTCACTCTCCAGATCCACAGTGGTGGTAGAGGCTTGGCCTAGCCCTTAGTGTGCACCGACAAACAACAGGACACACCATGTGGTCAGTACATTACCACACCGGTCTAAAACTATCTACATGTTCAGATTGTGAATGTAATGATAAAGTAACCAGAGAGACCATGGCTATCTTACTTACCACAGCCAATTGAAAGTCCACTGCTGTTTGAGCGGATAGTTTTAGAGTTGAGAACCTTTTCTGTAAACAGAGAACAGAATCAATCAATCTCAACTGTATCTTTCAACAAATGATTAGCTGGTGTTAGAACAGAAGGAAGTGGCTAGTGGCTGACCCATGATGAGAATGGTGTGCCAGCCGCGGCAGGAGAGGTCTGGCACATGGTGGAGGGAGCCGAAAATGGGTCGTGGTAAAGCAGGGCAAACCTCAGAGCCAAAGCCCTTGTCTGCAGGCATTCCCAGGCGTCCATTTCCTGCGTTTCCCCAGGCAAAGATCTGATTGTCTGAAAGGATGAGAGAGAAATAATATATTGGTCCACAGACAATTAGCCAATATCCTTCCAGCACCTAAACAGGGAATCCTGTTCCTGAAGTGCTACCGGTATTCTCCATTATTTTGAGTCCTACTCATGTAGGTCAGAGGACTCCCAGCTAACAGAATAAAGCGACAAAGAAAATGAGCACCACAACTCTTAAGCTGAATATACACACTGAACAGCATATGACAACAACATGCTGCAACAGAGAATGTTCAAGTTTAGTTGTGTTTCTGACCCTTCGTGGCTGCGATGGTGAAGCCATCTCCACAAGACACTTTGCTGACCACCTTTCCCCCGAAAGACCCCAACAGCAGCTGGACACCCTGGTGCTTCTTGAAGTCCTTTACACCCAGCTGACCGTACTTGTTGCACCCAAAGGTCATCAGCCGCCCATGCTCTGCAAGGTCAGAGTTCAGTCAGAACCATGTTTTGATATAAAAATCTATATACTTCCCACCTACAGTGGGGAAAAAAAGTATTTAGTCAGCCACCAATTGTGCAAGTTCTCCCACTTAAAAAGATGAGAGAGGCCTTTAATTTTCATCATAGGTACACGTCAACTATGACAGACAAAATGAGAAAAAAAATTCCAGAAAATCACATTGTAGGATTTTTTATGATTTTATTTGCAAATTATGGTGGAAAATAAGTATTTAGTCAATAACAAAAGTTTCTCAATACTTTGTTATATTCCCTTTGTTGGCAATGACACAGGTCAAACGTTTTCTGTAAGTCTTCACAAGGTTTTCACACACTATTTTGGCCCATTCCTCCATGCAGATCTCCTCTAGAGCAGTGATGTTTTGGGGCTGTCGCTGGGCAACACGGACTTTCAACTCCCTCAAAGATTTTCTATGGGGTTGAGATCTGGAGACTGGCTAGGCCACTCCAGGACCTTGAAATGCTTCTTACGAAGCCACTCCTTCGTTGCCCGGGCAGTGTGTTTGGGATCATTGTCATGCTGAAAGACCCAGCCACGTTTCATCTTCAATGCCCTTGCTGATGGAAGGAGGTTTTCACTCAAAATCTCACGATACATGGCCCCATTCATTCTTTCCTTTACACGGATCAGTGGTCCTGGTCCCTTCGCTGAAAAACAGCCCCAAAGCATGATGTTTACACCCCCATGCTTCACAGTAGGTATGGTGTTCTTTGGATGCAACTCAGCATTCTTTGTCCTCCAAACACGACGAGTTGAGTTTTTACCAAAAAGTTCTATTTTGGTTTCATCTGACCATATGACATTCTCCCAATCCTCTTCTGGATCATCCAAATGCACTCTAGCAAACTTCAGACGGGCCTGGACATGTACTGGCTTAAGCAGGGGGACACGTCTGGAACTGCAGGATTTGAGTCCCTGGCGGCGTAGTGTGTTACTGATGATAGGCTTTGTTACTTTGGTCCCAGCTCTCTGCAGGTCATTCACTAGGTCCCCCTGTGTGGTTCTGGGATTTTTGCTCACCGTTCTTGTGATCATTTTGACCCCACGGGGTGAGATCTTGCGTGGAGCCCCAGATCGAGGGAGATTATCAGTGGACTTGTATGTCTTCCATTTCCTAATAATTGCTCCCACAGTTGATTTCTTCAAACCAAGCTGCTCACCTATTGCAGATTCAGTCTTCCCAGCCTGGTGCAGGTCTACAATTTTGTTTCTGGTGTCCTTTGACAGCTCTTTGGTCTTGGCCATAGTGGAGTTTGGAGTGTGACTGTTTGAGGTTGTGGACAGGTGTCTTTTATACTGATAACAAGTTCAAACAGGTGCCATTAATACAGGTAACGAGTGGAGGACAGAGGAGCCTCTTAAAGAAGAAGTTACAGGTCTGTGAGAGCCAGAAATCTTGCTTGTTTGTAGGTGACCAAATACTTATTTTCCACCATAATCTGCAAATAAATTCATAAAAAATCCTACAGTGTGATTTTCTGGATTTTTTTTTCTTAATTTGTCTGTCATAGTTGACGTGTACCTATGATGAAAATTACAGGCCTCTCTCATCTTTTTAAGTGGGAGAACTTGCACAATTGGTGGCTGACTAAATACTTTTTTTCCCCACTGTAGCTATCTTAAGATTAATGCCCTAACTGTAAGTCTTCTAAGTGACTAAAATGTTGTTGTTTTTTATGAATTGGAGGCTCAGAGAAAGAGATAGGAGAGAGTCTGGTCGCTGTACCGTCAATGGCAGCAGTGTGGGTCTTCCCAGCTGAAATGACTTGGATCTTATATCTGGCCAGCTGCTTGACCAGAGTGAGTGTGGTGGTGTATGGTATCCCCTGGTAGGCCTGACAGTGGAGAAGGAGGGAAACTTAAATTCTCCACCATTACTTGTGTTACTCCTTATTTTAAAGCAATGAGAAGAGCCTGTGTGTGAATCTTGGTATGTGGAATGTGGTGCTGTACCTCTCCAGGAAGGTTTTTGAGGCCAGAGACTCCCAGGTTCAGACCCAACTTGTTCAGATCATTGTTCCCACAGGCCAGGACTTTGCCAGACTCTGTCAGGAAAAAGGTTCCATCAAGGCCACAGGACACAGATGAGATAATGGCTCCTTTGGGGATCTCCACCTGTGAATGCCAGACGATACACAACATTATGCTTCCTATTGATTTAAATGGTGGACTCAAACACATTTCCATTCATTTGTCTGGACAATAAAATTGAGACGTCATTGGCCCGTTCCCCATTAGCAGATTTATATTATATGTGTTCAAGCTCTCTGCTGAAAAATAAAGGGCAGGATCTTACTTGCATGGGGGAGTTAAAGTCATCCTCACAGTCCAGGCCAAGACGCCCTGAGGAAAATAACTTCATTAATTAATTATGTTCCGCATCATCATAGCTTTATCTACTGGCCAAGATAAGGGGGGACAACGGATAGGATATGGAGCTTGAGAGAGGCATGGTGGTAGACACGCAGTACTACTGTGTAGCTCAGTATCGATGCTCTGGTACATACCATGCTCTCCGCAGCCCCAGGAGTAGATGTCTCCACTGTGGGTCAGCACCACCACATGGTTGTCCCCACAAGACACCTGCCTGACAGGCCGCTCCTCAAAGAACTCCAACAGCACGGGCTCTAGGACCTCCCTGCCCTGCTCGTTCTCCACTCCTATACAGCCATAGTAGTCAGAACCAAACATGTACATCTGGTCCTCATCTGAAACCAAACACATCAACAGCATGTTGTCAAACAAGACCACATCTTTATTGTATGGAACAGGGTTGCAAATTGCTGTCTGAATTGTTTATGTGTTGTAAAAAAAAAAAAACACAACAACACAGCCCTCCCATTGTAAACATCCTATTCTACTGGCACAGAAGTAACGCTCCACACAGACACACCACTCACCAGTGACACAGGCAGTGAAATCTGCTCCACATGCAACCTGACGGATGGCCTTTCCCTGGAGCCTCTCCACCTTGCGTGGCTGCCGGTACGAGGCCTGGTCCCCATGGCCCAGCTGGCCCACCATCTTGGCCCCACCTTGGACACTCTAAAATGGAAGCAGGACAACAAAGAGCACATGTTTAATCAACAAAAACTACTTTAAAGTGCTTGAAATGTATTTTCTGCCTTGGACTTAAAGGAACAGCATGGTACTCACAGCCCAAGTGTACAGCTCTTTCTCCACGGTAACCACAGCAAAGTGGGTCTCCCCTGCACACACATGCTGGGCACCGCTGCCTCCTTTAAAAGCATCTAGTTTCTGGGGTGTGAACTTTCCCCCTCCCCAGAAATACACCTCCCTAGAGCGTGTTGTCACTACAGCAACAGGGCTCTCAGTCACTGTGCTCAACCTATGGACAAGTCACAAAATAACTGAATTAAATAATTGTACAAATACCACATTTACATGATTAGGTGAGAATGTGTTGAACATACTTTGGTTTTTTCATTGCTGAGTTGAGCAAGGCAACTCTATCCTCAAGCTCCCTGAAACAAAAAGAGGTTGTTTACACAATGAAAACAGCTGTTTTGATGATGTCTCTACACCTATTTGAACAATCACACCATATTTTCTATCTTTCAGACATCCCACCACATTCTCTCCCCCCTTCACCAGACTCACTGCCTGCGGCAGGAGACGATTGGCTGGTCCAGAATCTCATCAGCTGTGGGTCTCTTTTCTGGATCCTGCAAATAAATGTATCTTACATTACATTACCATCCATCACACATCTTTCTGCATATAGAGAATCTGTTGTCATATCTTACATCAACTGATTCCCTACATACAGTGTATGCTTTGGCTGATGCTAAATTATATTGCACTGATGATGACCGCCATGAAAGACTGAAATGACAGTATGCTGTACACGTTGCTGACGGGTCACTCACCTGATCTAAGCATTCGTACACCAGCTTGATCAGCGCTGAGGAATAGACATCAGAGTTGACCTCCATGGTCCAGTTTCCCTGCACTATCTTCACACACAGGTTCAGCGGATTCTACATGGACACAAGCAGAAGACAACCGGAAATGCATTTAAGTGACATCAACAGAGCATAATCAGTCAATGCCATGTTTTTAACATTAGAAAAAATTATAATAGCAGGCAAATGTGTATCAATTAGACAATGGGGTAAAAGATAAGCAGGCCACATACCGTAGCATCAAATGTTCTGGTGAGAGTTAAGACTTCAAAAATAACGCAGCCCATAGCCCAGATGTCTGATTTGAAGTTGTACTTCACACCTTGGCACAGTTCAGGAGACATGTAGTACGGGGTTCCTACACACTAAATTCATAAAGGAAAATGCACAAAAAAGTAACTGTACCCACAATTTCCATTTAGATGTTATCTATACCTTACACAAAACTAAATGTGAATATGCACAAAACACTTGCAAATAAAAATAGCATGAGTGAGTCCTAATCAAAGATTTAAAAAAAACTACGGGTTGTAAAATATGCACAGTAAAACATATTCAACTGTTCTGACACAATATTTCATATTCCCATGGATTCTAAAAGGGTATTGCAATGAAAGCAATTTATATTCAAAGCAGCAGACATGCACAGCCTCATAATATACTCTATGACATACGCTCTAGCTATCCATACGGGCCGTCATCAGACAAGAATAGCACTGCTCAAGGTCACAGCAGACAATTAGCTGCACACTCGCTGCTGCCACTTCTGACGACTGCCTCCATCACACAGAAGTAATGTCCCTGTTGCAGAGTGAACAGCCATGGATGAAGCTGACTACAACTATAGCAGGCTTAGGTACACTCAGGGAGAGACATGTAGACAATACCCAGAAAGGGACAGAACAACAGCACTGCTCTCTGGACATGATTTGGTTGAGTGTTCAGTCTGTCCACCAAATCTGTTAACTGAATATGATCAGCATACACTCTGTAATAGCTCTATAATAAGCTCTGTAGTAACTATAATGGCTGAGAGTTAGTTTTCTGCAGCTCTATGTAACTGAGATCTGCTTGGTCAATGTAACACAGAGCAGAAGAGCACAGCTTTCCAGGTTAATACTTCAATATAACTTACAGTCTCAGCCATGGCAAACTGTGAGTCCAGCTTCTTCGCCAGCCCGTAATCACCCAACTTAATCAGGTTGGTTTTAGTTAGGAAGATATTCAGCGTCTTGATATCCCTTCAAGAGACGAATAAAATAGGTCAGAAAACAAAATAGTGACCAGATCATACAATTGTGTATTCATAACCAACACAGCTTACATACAATACAAATAATCTCGTAGCACAATAAATGAGTAAGGCCCGGACCCAACCCTGGTATTTACCTGTGCAGGACACCAGCCTTATGAATGTGAGCCACTGCAGAGGCGACTTGGTACAGGTACCATATGACAACCTGGGAGTATTTAAGACATTTAAGATATTAAAAACTGGTTGGGAAAAGATGAAGTTGAATGTTCACCATTGTTCCTAACTAGGGCAAAGTCAGTGCCATTATGTGTCTTTAGGTACAATACACTCTTACAACATGTTGGGTTTCATTTTCATACCTCCTCAGTGAAGAGTTTCCCCTTCTGTTGGTTGATTTTATCATAAAGATTTCCTCCTGAAATTGAAAAGACAGTTGTTTTTTCCTATTGTTACTGTAACCGCCAGACCATTACAATTGGGGCAATCATATTTCAGTTGAGCCAAAATCAATATCATTAACCCATCACACAAAGTATTATGTTGAAAAAGGACACTTAATAACACATTTTTAATATCCCAAAAGTTTTTCATACAAATACACAAAAAGTGATAAGATGCTGCCATATCTCACCATTACAGTATTCAAGCTCAATGAGCAGAGTGTCCTTGTCCATGAAATGGTTGAAGTAGGCTATGATGTTGTTGTGCTGTAGGATGGAGAGGATGCTGATCTCGTTTGTGACATCCTTACGCTCTTTATCTGAGAGGCAGTTCAAGTCCACCTCCTTCCACACCACCAGAGAGTTGTCCTGCAGATTGATAGACAAGGAACAGACAGAGAAAGGTCAGGATGAGATCCGAAAGACTTTCACTGTGAAGGCTAAATCAAACAACACTCTGAGAGACCTCACGCAGCACAACTTTACTGCAATGGCCTCCTCAAAGTTAAACAAATATTAATTATATTCCTTTTATTTTTCTATTGTGCTACTGCTAATACAAAATGTAATAGGATAATACTAAGATAATAATAACATAAGCTAAAATAGGGTATATCCCTAATAATGGACTATATATGATGTAGGCTCTAATCAAACAAAGTATTATTTCAGCAAGTAAACTAAAAGGTTTAACATTTACAAAAGGTTGTCGTTTTCCTGCTGTTGTCAAATAAATACAAACCATGCTATGTCCTTACACATTGCTCTAGTTGTGTAAAGTTATGGGGATAATAGCAGTTTTGTCAAATGGCTTGGGAATGTAATGAATCTTGCTCTCAAGCAAGCATTTCCCACTGGGGTATGAAAACCAAAGTAGACTGTCTCAGAGGCTACTGGCCAGATTTGGTGAGAGATTCACACAGCATGCAGGGGAAGCTATTGTAGATCACTAATACACAGGCCTAATAGGTCTGTCTGTCTGTCTGTGTGTGTGTGTGTGTGTCTGTGTGTGTGTGTGTGTGTGTGTGTGTGTGTGTGTGTGTGTGTGTGTGTGTGTGTGTGTGTGTGTGTGTGTGTGTGTGTGTGTGTGTGTGTGTGTGTGAGTGTGTGTGTGTGTGTGTGTGCGTCAACAACAGTGGCAGTGACACACACTAGCATATTCCTGGGATCTCTCCAAGAATGATAGAAATAGAGCTTGACCTGCTTACCTCTGTTCGTCTGTATAAGGTTGCTTCGCCAAATGCCCCTCTTCCAAGGATCCGGATTGGAATGTAATGTAACTTTTCTTCCTCGCCACTGTATACTGACGTCGATCGCCCACTGGCGACAGATTCACTCCCAGAATCTGAATTGAGCGAGGCGTAACGCCTTTCGTAGTCTTCAAGTGACATTTTGAGTATAATAAGTGGTAAACTGTAATGCTCGTAAACAATTTACAAATTAATTGCGTAAACAAACTCGTAAAATACCTTCCTTTAAAATCTAATTTGGGGAGAATTCCCACAGAACAGCGACAGCTAGGCTATACATCAATAAAAGCTTTAACTTTACGACTGCTGCAAAGAATAATAAGCCGCAGCAATAGCGTGCAACAGAGTTGCAATAGTTTTGTTGATTTTACCGGGAAGTTACCGGGAAATCTTTTGGCCTAGTCTCCTTCGAAACCTTTGGACGTTAATGCGCAGTATTACAATAACCATCTCCCTTGATCTGATACTCGTTAATACCGACAAGAAGATGTCTACTGTCTGCAGTTTACCCACTTTACTAACTTTACATTTAGGAAGCTGACAGTAGCGCACACTCGACTGTGCCACAGCGCAATAAGGAGTCCATCTTTTCCATTTCCATGCATAGGCAAAGATGGAGAGGTGAAGCGAGAGGCTCAACTCCGCCCAAAATCTGTCCGCGCTAGAATACAGCTATAAGCAGACCAAGTGGGGATTCTTTGTATGAAGGCCTATGAGAGTGTCGAATTTCGTCAACAAAAAATGTAATTGCTAATTTGCTACATGTGGCTTATTTGATCGAATATAAGTTTCGTAATGTTTAGGTTGTTACAAATGTACTGATATAAGTGGACGCTCGTGGCATCCGGTAACTTTGATAAAAATATATTTTATATTGGTCTTGTCTCTGTTGTTCACACGCGTATCTGCCCTCTCATTGGCTAGAATGTTCACGGTTGCGCTCTCCTCCACCCGCCTGCATCCCGCCTTTGCGGACATTTCTTTCCATTGTCAGAGCGGTTAGTCGACTATCTTGTCAATATAATATATCCTCTTTGACATGGGCTAGTACCCGGAAACACTCAAGTTAGTTATGCTGCATTCATAATATGGTCATGAGTGAAAGTTAGGCGGTACGGTCCTGTATGGCGTCCCGGCAAAATAAATAGTGGGGGTACGCGGTACCAGTAAAACGTGAGCCTATCACAATTAATACAACATGCTCAAAAACCTATAGGCTATTCCACCATTATTTAACATTACTGCATGTCAGCCCAATGACAAATTAGCGAATTGTTTGGAAACCGGGTGGTATATGCTCCAAATTGTGTTGTGGTTTGAGGAGAACACTTACATTTTGCCAAGGCAGAGATGGGTGGCTGAGACGCTCGCGGACAAGGCGGAGACGAGTGCGTGGACAACAGTGGATGCATCAATTCAGGCTACAAGTGTAGGCCTAATGACAATCACAGAATGTCATTACAATACACGTAGGTCTTTTGTAACAGATGTCTCTTTCCATTCATCAGTGCACTGTTGGGGTTTGGATGCTGAAATTACTTTGTGAGTGGACGAATGTGCGCGGGTAGCCTACAGGAGCGCCTTTGTTAAGTGATTGTTTGACAATCAGATAAAAACATCATGATTGGTTGTGTTTATTGCCACATTAAAAAGTATAGGCGGCGTGTCCATAAGGCTAGCGGAAGCTTTCCCTCAAGTAAATTGAATTAAATTGCCAAAAGTATATAGCCTAATTGGCGTACTCCTGTCTATAGATAAATAAAATCATTCAAAATAGGCTACTACACCAGAAAGCATGATTTGGCCACAGAGGATCATTAGCTTCTTAAACAAAAAAGTTGTGCATTGTTTTAAATCGCATAGCCCACAGTCGGAAGGGCTGTGGGCTATGCGAGCTGCAAATACCAAATAGATTATTGTTGATTTGCGACTGTCAGTGAAAAGCAGAGAGACCCAGCCAGGCATATCGCAATATTTAAAAATACAATCGCGGAAAAACTGTTTGGAAGAAAATGTCTAAGAGATGACAATGAAAAGTTCAAAAGATGACAATGAAAATACTCCAATCTGTCTTTTAGTTTTCAAAATTCTTAACTTAATTGAGGGAACAGTATTGGCACCAGCGGAGAACTTCGGCCATATCCCCGGTGAGTGTGCATACTCACTGTCTTTGTCATTGGGTCAATGCCACTTTTGTTTGTTTTTGGACAATAATAATTTCCTCCTCCAGGTTAGATGGACTTCATATTGTATTTGTGTCTCCACTTTTCGTAGGCCAATTATATATGGATCAGAACAACATCGTTTTTTATTGATCTGTTTGTCAGTGTCAACAGAGTAGGCTACACTGTATTTTTTGTAGTATAAAAAAAATACTTGCGCGCACTTGGGTGTCCAGTACCGGTAAGAAATTAAATCTACTTTAACCCCTGAATGTGGTAAATACCACCTTTCCACTCGGTTATGAACGCATCATTACGCTTAGTTTATGCTGCGTTCATAACCCAGTAGGAAGTTAGTATTTACCAAGTAATCTATTAATATGGTTTTTGAACACTATAATTTGTTTACAAGCATGACAGCTGTACTTTTAATTTATGGTTGAGACAGCTTGTTGGCCATTAGCCAATCTGAGTTTCTCAAGGAGTTCAAAGCATCTAAATGCCTCCAACTGTTATTTAAGACTTCACAACTGGTAATTTCCCACTTGGTCATGAACACAGGGTTAGATCTCATCTCAGTTAAACCCCATAGAGATAGCTAGAGGACTCTAGTGCCCAAAATCCAATTTTAGCATGCACAGCGACATTGAGGACTTTCACCATTTTTAAGTAGTCAACTGGGTGGGACTTCCTATGGGTTAAGGAAGGATCACATAATTCCATCGAGGTCACCAGGAGGGATCAACCAATTAATTATACTTGTGAGGAAACATTCCATAACTGCAGGGGGCAGTAAATCGCCAACCTGTAAATCGCTTTATACCTGTTCAAACAACACACTCTAGGTGGCAGTGTGCACCCTTTCAGTTTGTTTGCCAACTCATCAACGTAGTAGAAGATGAAAATGGACTACTTCAAAATGGAGATGGCCTCAATGGTGCTGCCTGTGCACAAAAATGTGATTAATGCTAAAGAGGAGGCCCAGAGAAAGTTACACAGAGAGCTCACTAGCCTTCACCAGCAAGAGATAGAATTGAAGCAACAGACAACCAGCAATGATAACTTTCAGACGCAGATTAAGAGCCTTCGCAAGGATAAGACACAACTGCAGTCCCAAATATCTTCACTTGGTGAGATAACTTTGTGTGAGACACCCTAATTAGGATTTGATCTACTGACTAGTAAAAAACAAACATACAATGTGTCTTTACAGAGGAAAGCTCTGGCCTATGTTTGCCAGGATGGGATCTGCTAAACTCAACGTGTTACAACTTTGCCATTTCTGGTGCCATTGAGTCTAGAAGCTGGGGAGAGGCCAGAAAAGACTGTTTAAGTCATGGAGCTGACCTGGTTGTCGTAGATAGCTGGGAGAAGCAGGTAAGACATGGGCCATCATTTCAAACTGAGGTGAGGGACAAGGGTGGGGGGTTGAAGTGTTACTGTAACTGGAAGTGTGATGTTTATTACCATATTTTGTTCATTGTAGAAGTGAGTACTGTTCCAAACTGCCATTATTCATAATTTAACCAACCTAGTTCAACAGCTTGTTTCTGCATGACTTTCTGTAACGAAAACACAGGGAGTCAGGAAGCAGGTGCAGATGGTGAGTTTAATAATAATGAACATGGAGCGTTACAAAACAAGAGATGCGTCTGGACATGAAAACAGAACCAATACTGCCTGATGACTGATGTTGGTGAGGGCTATATGAAGGGAGAGTAATCAAGGTGGTGATGAAGTCCAGGTGTGCTTAACAATGTCTCCTATCCATCATCAGTGGTGGTCAGTGTAACACCACTACATTTTAAATGAAAATGTTTCTACCAAAAGTAAATTCATGGTTATTCACTTTTTTTCAATTTAGCCTCTGTACATGCAGTGCCATATTGGGCAATTATTTCCTTTATGACTGGTTGTTTTGAGGATCTTTCTGTTATGGGAAGGTATCCTGTAATCCTTGGGCACACACACACACTCCTCCTTCCACTCAAACCACCAATGGCCTCTCGGTATTCACATGAAGCATTGACATAGGGTAATGAGTAAACAAATCATCCACAGGCAGAAAGATCTGGCAAACAGTTGTTTTAGTTCAATAATGGCAGGCAGCAGACAGACAAGTAAAGGGAGAATTCTGACATATATTCAGAAAATGGGAAATACAGTGAGCTGATATGGCAGGATGATTTGAACACAGATGGACATCCTCTCCAGCACAGACAAGACCAACAACAAGATACAGTAAGGAGAATGTGACCTTTTTGGGGAAAAGCCAGAGAATATCTGCACTCCTATACAAATCAATCCAGGAGCTTTTGGCAGATTGTAGATTTTAGTATACATTTTCCATTGTCCAGTGTTCATGTTCATGGTGAGAGATGGGCTGAGTTTGATTCTACAGATTGATTGAAGTGGGTCTGGTCATGCTCAGTGCTCTTCTACTGGCAGTTGACATTGGTGTGGGAATCCAAAGTAAGTAGTGTCCGTTATCATTTCACTCTCCTTTAAAGAATCAATAAAAAAAACTTCCTCTAGTGATGTTAGGTCTCTCTTTGGTCCCCGCAGATAGCAAAATCAGTGAGAAGTATAGTCCACCATATCAGAACTTGACACAGATCAGGAGGTACTGACAGAGTTAGAGAGAGCTCCGAAAGGTTTACAAAACCAGTGGGCAGCTAGCGTGATAAATGTAATGGCATGGAGTTAGAGGCAGGTTGAAAGCCTACAGGAACAGATGGTGGCATTGCAGTCCTGTGTCACTGAAGTTGGTGAGACTTTTGGAACTGTCTTTTGTATGCTATGTTGTATCTAGAACTGACATTGATTCATTTATTAAATGCTTGGTAGATGTTTATGACAAAAACAGCAAAGTATGCCTACCTTTGTCACATTACAGCAACAGTAATGTTTCAATGACCATTTCCATCTCATTTTGTAACAGTGGAAAGCTGTTGCCATTGTTTGCCAGGATGGGAATTGCTAAACTCAGTGTGTTACTACTTTCCCTTGTCTGACTCCATTCCTCTGAAAACGTGGGAAAGAAGCAGAGAACTGCATTAAACAAGGCGCTGACCTGGCAATTATAGAGTGTAGAGAAGCAGGTAAATGATTTGGATATATTCTGTATGGTGTAACTTCCACAATGTGTTAAAGATATACATACTAGGTTAGCATAGAATAACTTCCTATCATTTCCATCAGTTCTATGCAATGTGGAATGCTGTAAGTGCCCCACTCCATGGAGTAGGCCCCTCTACATATTAATGGTTTGACAGCACTGTAAAAGAGAAAGATTGTCCAAAAGCCATAGTTATCAATGATTCATTCAGCTTCTTTCTTGGCTTGTGGTTTGTTTGCTCAGGCATTCATAAGTAAGATGATACACAAAGTGCAGTTTAACTCCGAACCTATGCACATGAAAGGGTTCTGGATAGGACTGAAGGAGGAAGAGGATACAGAGGGGAACTGGAAATGGGTTAACGGGACTGAGCTGACTCGGGGGTAAAAGCTGCACAAGTCATTGGACTGGATTCAGGTATAATCATGTATGATCTTCTAATTGTTTAGACCAACATGTTAAGCGGTACTTAAATGTTTCCACTGTACCATTACCATTCAGGACAAGACCAGAATGTCTAGAAAGTAACCTTTAACTTGGTTTAAAGGTACTGGCAAGAGACAGCCCAATGACCACTATGGAATGGAGGACTGTGCAGCCATCTATTCCAAAATAAATTCCATGAGGTCCTGGAATGATGCTCCGCGTACACATCCATTGAAATGGATATGTGAAATACAATCAAGGAAGGCTTTGACTGTAAAATGTCAATTATTTCAATAAGTAAATACATACATTCAAAATAATAGGCATTGGAATCAAATGTAAATTTAAGTTGTACATAGCATAATACTTTATCTGGTGAAAGAAATTGTCATACTGTAAAGTTAAACAAGTTCATTAGTTCTGCATCTTTTTAATAGTTTACTCCTTACAAACAAGACAGACTACAAACTGTGACGAGTAATGTTAATACCAAAATACATCCCAGGTTTACATCTGAATACACTATAAAAAGATAGAAGTATAAATGCATGTACTATAGTAAATATATTAGTTTCTTTCATGTTCATACTTTACTATGTACATTCACTATCGGTGCTTAAAAGTACCTTAAATACTATTATACATGTCTGTGAACCAACAGTTGAAGAGAAACACAAATGCCAAAACCAATCTTGGCAGCAAATAAAACATTTCAACTAACTAACAAGACCTTCATTGGGCCAGGGAGTTGTAAATGACTGTTTTATAATCATTTCTGTGCAGTGAGTTGCCCAAGCCAAATTGCCCTTTATATAATTTAGCCTGTATATTGTCACCATCATATAACAGGTTTGTGTATTTGCAAGCAAAATGTTTTTCTGTAGATTGTGATGATGTCTAATCAGAACATGAGGAGGCCAGTGACTGTTGTTCAATAGCAGCACTCTATGACAACTAAGTAAGTGAGATATCACACAGGTTGGACTGTCAAGTCAGGTGTGTCGGTTAGTAGGTCACAGCACAGCAAAGTGCTGGCGCAGGTGTTTCAGGATCTGCTGGGTATCTACATGCTCGGGGAAGGCATCCTCTGACCTCTGGGCTGCCGTGTAGCTACTCTGCAGATCTCCAATCTGGACACAGCAGAAGACAAAAACATATCAATTCATATGATCTCTCATGACTAAAAACAGCCTGTTTTATACCAGGCATACCAATGTCCTTTTCATTTAAAACAGTGCTATGAATGTGCAAGCTGCATTTCAATAGTTAAATACATTGAAATAAAAGTGCAGATGAAGTGTCTCGTTACCTTGTCTGACAGAGTGGAGTAGTTAAAGTGCGGTTCATACATGTGAGGGGCGAGTGACGCAGCGGTCTGGAGGAAAGCTTTGGACTGTGAAGAAATTAGGGAATCAAAACAACCATTCTGAATTAGACTCAATACAAAAATATCATAAGCAGTACACTAAAGACTTTAAATAATGTGTTGTACCATATGGAAAAGAACCACTGGGCATAATGCTTTAGAAGAGCAAGCCTGGAAGAAGTTTCTACCAGTTGGAAAGAAAGTATATAATTTAAAACAGATTCACACTCAATGCTCTTATCAGTACTGACATTTTATCAATATGATACATTTGAAGATCTAGAAACCCCACTTCATTCACCTGCTCAATGTGTCCCTTGCGTAGCTCCAGCACGGCCAGGTTATTATAGGCCTCAGCATGGTCGTTGTTGAAGGCCAAGGCCAGTTTAAAACACTGGTATGCCAGAGTCAGGTCTCCTATTCCCTGTGGAGAGAGGGAGGTAGCTCAGTTGTTAGAGCATGGCGTTTGCAACGCCAGGGTTGTGGGTTCGATTCCCACGGGGGGCCAGTATAAAAATATATATATAAAAAAAAAAAAAAATGTATGCACTAACTGTAAGTCGCTCTGGATAAGAGCGTCTGCTAAATGACGTAAATGTAATGTAAATGAGAGAAACATAAGATGCAAGTAACAAACAGAAATGCAAAGCATAAGTGATAGCATGCTATCTGTTCAAAGCACTCAGCCAGATGTGGATCCTGTCCAAGAGAAAACAGTTGACATACAGAAGAGGGTGCTGTAGAGTAACTTGATGCAGTAACTAACATCTGTGTGTGCTAAGCTAATGCTAACCCACCACGGCCACATGTCCGATGTTGTACCAGACGTCAGCCTGCTCCTCATCATTGGCCACCAGGGCCAGAGCCCTCTCGAAGGAGGACAGGGTCATGTCATACTGCTGGGCATAAAAGCAGCACAATCCCAGGTTGTTGTACAGCTGGCAATTATATACCCCCATCTGCAGCAGCCGTCTACAGGGAAGGAGGGTTAGAGGGAAAAGACAACTGTAAAATCATGCAACCATGCAAGGCATGTGTATGCACTGAAATTGTCAAAATTCTTAAATCACACAGGCATACACATAATAATCAGAGTTAGATAAGGGATTTAAAGGAGGTGGTGTGTGTGTGTGACTAACCTGTAAAAGCGCAAGGCGATCTCAGGCTGGTCCGTGTAGAAGTGATTGCTGCCTATGCAGGCGATAGCCTCAACGTGAGTGTTGTCCTGCTTCAGGACGTCTTTGTAGTACTCTGTGGCTGAGGTGATGTTATTCATCTCCTGTGAGAGAGAGACAAATAACAATAACTATAAAGACAGATGTTGGACCTCCTGATCAACCTGCATCTATTCTCTCAATTGACAGAGTAATTCAATAGCTACTAGAGCTGCAAAACAATTAGGCTCTAAATTCCAAGGCAATCAGCTGCTCGTTACACATTTGACATGATTTCAACCTGTGGTTTCTTTAAGCAAGAGAACACTTTACAAACAAACAACAACAACAAAGGAATCATGCTACGTGCCTCGTGAATGCGAGCGATTCCTGTTAAGAGAGTGACCTCCCCAGGGAAGTGGTCCAGACCTTGCTTGAAGAGGTTCAGTGCAGTTATAGGCTGATCAAGGCGTTGATACACCTGTTTTTAGTGGCGAAACAGAACAAGTATTTTTATGTCATTTGTGTACAAATGAAGACAAATAGGTCAGTAGATTGATATAAAAAAACATAAACCTATTTGGAATTCTAGAAACAACTCATTGGTGAGTGACACACCACCAGGTTTTATCTGCTACGGAGAAGCCTTGTGTGATGGTTAATCTATACTGTATACAGTGTAGTTACACAGTATTTACAGTGTTCAGAGTGTTAGGGATATTGTAGGTTGTATGTTGTTACCTTGGCCAGATAGAGGTATGTGTCCACCACCTCCTGATGATTGAGAGCAGATCGGAACTGTTTTTCTGATTCCCGGTGTAAACCAAGTCTGTTAATACAAACAGTCACAATGTGGTAGAACTGTAGTGGTAGTATAGTATACATGTATGTATTGTATAAGAACAGTTGTTTGAGATCTAAGTAATCAGCCAAAGCTTTACCTGTAGTAGCATTTCCCCAGCTGGACTTTCCACCACCAGTCTTTGAACTGAGCATTCTCAGTGGCCAGAGCAGCCAGGTCTAAAGCCTGTTCACAAAACATGACAGGGGAGGTACAAATCATTTTAGACTGAAATGTACAAACAAAAACTGCATGAAAAGCCAAAGATATACTGTATAACTATTTATAACTCACATTTGTTACATCATTTTCATGATGGAAGATGTACTCAAACAAGGTCTGGGGGCATAAAAAACAACAGAACGGTCATAACACGTATTGAACCCGAATAACCAAAATAAATACATTTACGACAAATATTTTTTTACAGACATTGTTCATTGCCTTACATTCATTAAATCAGTCTTACCTTGGATAAATTGGGCTTCTGGGCATATTTAGCCAAGTTGAGTCTTGACAAATTTATAAATGGCCCCTCAGGATTGGTTAACATGGAGGCTGTTCCCAGCCGGACAAATCTCCCAGACGCACTAGTGACAGGGCGGGCAGTGTGTGCCGTGCGCGGGGTCTTAATGGCCTGTTCCATTGTCCCTGGTCTGCCAGACTGGGTACTGGGCCTCACAAACCCTGTGATAGGACGTCCCGATTGGGTCATGGGTCTAGAGTCAGGACAAAAAAGCTCAGTTCAGAACTAACCTGATGCCTTTCCAGGGTAAATAATGCTCCTCACAACTCATTGTCAGAAATATTGTTACAGTAATAACACAATTCCAGTAGGGGAAATGCTTGGAATACTTACCTAACACATACAAGATAGTTGTGAATATAAAAGGTCACATACCGGATGGCTGGAGTAGGTCCACCTCCATGGCTTGTTCCAGGAAGCCTCAGTGATGTCCCAGGGCCTGAAAGACAGCTTCATTACAGTACACTCAGATTTTACCAGAACAGATTCAGAATAGTAATATATTTTTGATATTGATTTTCTGAGCTGGTAGGCTCAGTAGGCTATTCTGCAGATGACTATGGTCAGGAGTTTTTCCTGACCATGTGATCTGACCAAGAAGAACTCTTGGCCCTCTGGGACTGTTCAGAGTTCAGACTTACGAGCAACCTGGGCGATGGAGCTTTCATCCAGCATCATCTCGGCGATCCCCTCCTGGTCCACCTCCACCTCATCAATGTACACCATCTCTGTCAGAGCACGGGTCTTCAGACTCCATGCAGCCTGCCCAAGAGGAAACAGGTAGTTGATTTTATTTTACAGTGTGAAAATAGTTTACTTCGATGTTACAAGGTAGGGAACTCCAACACTGATGTGCTACTGTGATATTTCATTAATTTCTCTACCCATTCTATTTGTATTTTAACATGTCAGAACATGCCAGGTTAGAAGCAGCATGTCAACAGACACAGAATAAAAGGAGCACAGCAGGAAGAGGTTACCTCAGAAATATGTGATGAGGAGTCAGGTTCCTTTTAAGACAGCAGTGAGTGAAATGATGAGAGAAAAGGTGAAGATAGATTTGATGCATCAATTAGTCTAGGCTATAGCAAGCACATTTCAAGACCATTGGAGTTAAGAGTAGCTAGCTGAACTAAAGGTTAGAAGAAATAGTGATAGTGGTCACAATAAGGTAAAAACGTGCCAGATATGATGATTGCCCTCTAGCTAACAAGTTGTTGTTTTTTATGGCACCAATAGCTAGCTAGCTATCAATGTGCTAGCAAAACAATAGCTAGATAGCAAGCAATGGCAGAGCATCTCTGGCAATAGTATGAGGAATAGGCAATGATTCAGAAAATGTCAAAGAATACTTTGCAAGCATGCTACTGCTAGCTATTAACATGAGCTAAATTGGATTCATGCCTGGAGCTGGCAAGCAGAGCTAAAATAGCTAGCTAGCTACTAGTTTAGCTATTTCTAACCTGGTCGTATGGACTGTCCTCTAATATCTTCGAACAAATATCGGAACATGGTTGGAACTTCCGTCTTCTAAAGTAGCTCCATGCAAGAAACAAAGGATCCATCGGCACCTCCATTTTGTCTTCTTTGTCAGTGGTGCAAAAATAAATTAAGCGGTAGGTCCGTTTTTAGAGCTTAGCTATCAACGCTAAGCTTGTTGCTTGAGCAGCAAGCGTCCTGTCACTCCCAGCAACAGAGGATAGGGGAGGTCCTCTCGTAGGTGCACTTGATTGAAGTCGCCCGGCACGCCGGGTGGGCAGAGGTGTGCAAATGTTATGACTATTCCGTCCATTCTACAATGCGAACCCTGCCCACCCAATGCTGCATTGAGCTATTTGGGATTTACCATGAGAACAATATTCTTCTTTAAAGTGAAGCAAGATCAGTGCGTTTACTCAATAACTTTTGTGCACTGCCTGTCTTTATATTACATTTACATTTTAGTCATTCCCCCCCTTACCCCCCCCCCCCCAAAAAAAAAAAAACATTGTAAAGTGGTTATCCCAGTGGCTATAAGGTGAATGCACCAATTTGTAAGTCGCTCTGGATAAGAGCGTCTGCTAAATGATGTAAATGTAGCAGACGCTCTTATCCAGAGCGACATACAGTTAGTGAGTGCATACATTATTATTATATTTTTTCATACTGGCCCCCCGTGGGAATCGAACCCACAACCCTGGCGTTGCAAATGCCATGCTCTACATCCCTGCCGGCCATGTCCTCCCCTACCCATGGGTCTCCCGGTCGCGGCCGGCTACGACAGAGCCTGGATTCGAACCAGGATCTCTACCACTGCGCCACTCGGGATAGACCACAAGGTGTATGCATTCAGCTTGGTCTCATAGTCTAGACGTAACATAGTAAATGTAAATCCGGGAGCTTAAATTACTTGTATGTTACGTTTGGTATGGTTATATAAGACAAATGGTTACTTAAGGCAGGGTGGTTGGTCGGGTGGATGGGTGGGCATATGACACAAAGGTTGCGAGTTCAAATCTCATCACGGACAACTTTAGCATTTTAGCTAATTAGCAACTTTTCAACTACTTAGCATGTTAGCTAACCCTTCCCCTAACCCTAACCCTAACATTAACCCTTTAGCTAACCCTTCCCCAACACCTAACCTTAACCCTTTAACCTAACTCCTAAATTTAACCCTAACCTTAGCCCTAACCCCTAACCCTAACGCCTTGCTAACGTTAGCCACTTAGCTAGAATTCGTAACATATCATATGTTTTGCAAATTCGTAACATCTAGTACGTTTTGCAAATTCATAACATATATAATACGAATTGTAATTCGTAACATATCATACGAAATGGGTGATGGACATCCACAAATTAATACATACCATACGAAACGTAAAATATACTAAATGTGTATCGCGGATTTACATACAGAATAATACAAAATGCTCTGAGACCTGGTTGCAGCGCAACATTCTATGAACTTCACTTCAGCACCCACTGAGTGGACAGCGACTTTATAAAAAGTAGAAGCTGAGAGGGTGGCGGGCAAAAGTAGCATACCTGAACGCATGTGTTATCTAAAAAAGAACATGCAGTTGGTGTATCTCCCTTTTTATGACAACAGCATTTATAGTCTCCTAAACATGTAAGTAGACCTTCTTTCTGTTTGATAAAGCCTATGCATGGATAGAGGAACTACTGTTAGAATGTTGAAGAAATGTGCAAAAGGGTACAATATTCAACGGCGCCTACTTGGATTGACAGCTGTCAAAAGCTTCCTGGTGTTGACTGCACAACATTGGTTAGCCAGGGTTAGAACCATTGGTTAGAGCGCATTCTTTAGGGGCGGACGTTTATCCCTTTTATAATGATTGCCATTGGTCCGTGAACATCCCTGCAAACACTAAATAGATATTTGGGGATGTGATTGGACAGATAGTTGATATATCGCCAATGTAGATCACATTTTGGGGCGGTGCTTGTAAATAAACGCGAAAATTCCATTTTATAGTATTTGACAAGAGCTTCGACCTGTCTCGAGCGGGGCAGCTATTGGGGATGTGATTGGACAGATAGTTGATCTATCACCAATGTAGATAACATTTTGGGGCGGTGCTTGTAAATAAACGCCAATACTCCATTTTATAGGATTTGACTAGAGCTTCGACCTGTCTCGAGCGGGGAAACTAGGCAAAGGCTGAAGTAGAGGTAGATGTATGCTTTTTACCATGAAAAGGACTGCATAGTTAACCATTTTGAATTAAAGATAAGCATATTATCTCAAAGTAAAACTAGATTTAGTGAGACTATTATGCAAATGGTACACAAAAGCACGCTATAACCGCTTGTACCGGATACGATGCATTTCCAGTGGAACTAAGAGATGTGGGATTGAATGAAATCCTTCTTGGTGAATGAAGAAATATCAAATACTCGAGACAGAGAAGAAGTACGGACATGGCTGACAGGACCGCTCCGAATTGTCACCTGCGACTAGAATGGGTTTACGGGTATCGGGGACATCAGTGCCGCAACAACCTGTACTACACAGCCGCCAAGGAAATTGTCTACTTCGTCGCCGGTGTGGGAGTAGTGTATAACACACGGGAACACAAGCAAAAATTTTACTTGGGACACAACGATGACATAATCAGGTAATCCGACTTGCAGAAACTCATTCATTTACAGATATGCCGAGATCCACAATAAAATGCGAGGTAACACCAATAAAAACACCAAACTGATCAAGTTTTTATTTCTGTCGAGGAGATACTTTGCCTACAAGTCTCTATTGAATCGAGGTTATGAGTTGTAATATATAACTATACAGTTTCAACGAGTCAAAATGGTATAGTTTGTGAAAACATCACACTGAGCCCAACTTGTGAGCTAACCGCCTTTCAGCACCTACTGGATGGACAGCGACTTCATTAAAAGGAAAGGTTGGGGGAGTAATGATGTAATCGTTTTGTTTTGAAAAGATGCAGTTACTGTATCATATCTGATACAATACACTCTTAGAAAAAAGGGTTCCAAAAGGGTTCTGCGGCTGTCCCCATAGGAAAACCCTTTTTGGTTCCATGTAGAACTCTCTGTGGAAAGGGTTCTACATGGAACCCCAAAAGTTTCTACCTGGAACCAAAAGGGGTTATTCAAAGGGTTATCCTATGGGGACAGCCAAAGAACCCTTTTTGGTTCTAGCTAGCACCTTCAAAAAAAAAAGTGTACAGTTATTTTTTTCTGAAAGAAAAGGTGAGACATTTTATCTCATGATTCTAAACTGGATTTCTTTTACATAACTTATGGCATTTGAGGTAAGTTATTTGCTGACATCTTACTGTAGGGCCCTGGTACACTACATGACCAAAAGTATGTGGACTCCTGCTCGTCGAACATCTCATTCCAAAATCATGGGCATTAATATGGAGGTGGTCCCCGCTTTGCTGCTATAACAGCCTCCACTCTTCTGGGAAGGCTTTCCACTAGATGTTGGAACATTGCTGCAGGGACTTGTTTCCATTCAGCCACAAGAGCAATAGTGAGGTCGGCACTGATGTTGGGCGATTAGGCCTGGCTCGCAGTCGGCGTTCCAATTCATCCCAAAGGTGTTAGATGGGGTTGAGGTCAAGGCTCTGTGCAGGCCAGTCAAGTTCTTACACACCGATCTCGACAAACCATTTCTGTATGGACCTCGCTTTGTGCATGGGGGCATTGTCATGCTAAAACAGGAAAGGGCCTTCCCAAACTGTTGCCACAAAGTTGTAAGCACAGAATCTTCTAGAATGTAATTGTATGCTGTAGCGTTAAGATTTCCCTTCACTGGAACTAAGGGGCCTAGCCCGAACCATGAAAAAGCCCCAGACCATTATTCCTCCTCCATCAAACTTTACAGTTGGCACTATGCATTCGGGCAGGTAGTATTCTCCTGGCATCCGCCAAACCCAGATTTGTCCGTCAGACTGCCAGACTGCCAGATGGTGAAGCGTGATTTATCACTCCAGAGAACAGGTTTCCACTGCTCAAGAGTCCAATGGCGGTGAGCTTTACACCACTCCAGCCGGCGCTTGGCATTGTGATCTGAGGCTTGTGCCTGGGCTGTTCGGCCACGGAAACCCATTTCATGAAGCTCCCGACGAACAGTCCTTGTGTTGATGTTGCTTCCAGAGGCAGTTTGGAACTTGGTAGTGAGTGTTGCAACCAAGGACATGATTTTTATGCACTGCGCGCTTCAGCACATGGCGGTCCCATTCTGTGAGCTTTTGTGGCCTACCACTTCGCGGCTGAGCCGCTGTTGCTCCTAGATGTTTCCACTTCACAATAACAGCACTTACAGTTGACCGGGGCAGCTCTAGCAGGGCAGAAATTTGAACTGACTTGTTGGAAAGGTGGCATCCTATGACGGTGCCACGTTGAAAGTCGCTGAGCTCTTCAGTAAAGCTATTCTACTGTCAATGTTTGTCTATGGAGATTGCATGGTTGTGTGCTCGATGTTATAAACTTGTCAGCAACGGGTGTGGCTGAAATAGCCGAATCCACTAATTTGAATGGGTGTCCACATACTTTTGTGTAGATATAGTGTATTTCTTGCTAGTCACAGTGGAATGTGAAATACAGTAACTCCACTCTGCATTCACTATTCCACCCTTAAAACCCATGATGACTGCTCAGCGACCCATCATAACTCTCAGGATGAATGGGAATGGATGGACTTGAAGGTCCTTCAGGGAATGTTTGAGTCAGGTAAACCTGAATGGACACAGAGACCCACATCCCTATGATCGTTCCAATCATTCATGTCAATGGGGAGGAACTCAGCCAACCTCTTGAGCAAAGATCCTTTATTATAATTTGGTCTCTGGAAATTACCCTTCTTTCACTTCTAGGGGACAAATTGCAGCAGCTTGCTCCATACAATGAATTACCATGTACTGAATGACCTGTGTCCACTGCTCCAGTGGCTGTGTTGTCATTGTGTGGGTTGGCCTGGAGATGACTAGGATTATATACTGTAGTGTCGTTAGTCAGCTGTTCTGCTGCTCCATTATTCATTGGTCAACAGAGAGACAGTACTTGCATTGCCTTGCCTTCTGTGTGAAGTGCTTCAGTTCAAATGCCACGAGGAGTAATTAGCAGACGCTTTTATCCAAAGCGACTTACAGTCATGCATGCATACATTTTACGTATGGGTGGTCCCGGGAATTGAACCCACT